GTTGTTGCACTTGGCCTGGTACTCTCCGTCCCATGCCCTCCATGCACCATCGATAGGCCGGCATTGGAAGATCGAAATCAGCTCGAAGACAACAAAGTACGCCACATTGAGTCCGATCATAACGTATGTCGCAATTCTGATCTCCCTGCGGGGAAAGATCTTGAGATAGAATAGCAAGATCGAGATCTTGGTGACTGGCAATGCTCCCAGGTAAAGCAACTCGTCCCAATAAAACAGCTGAACACTATGTCAGTCATGAAATTGTAACGCAAACAGAAGATATGCTCACGTAGAGGAACTTCGTCACGTCATCGGGACTGACATTCCACATGTCTTTCCCAAGAGCTACTTGTGAAACTAAGTGGCTGTTAGTGTGTGCTTCAACCGCGGCTGTTTGCTGTTCGTGACTTACTGGGAATGGACAATGCGTTGAGGGGTATCATCATGCCCACAGCAATCAACATTACCCAGTCATCAGGTCCCCATGTCTGGGCACCGAGGCATAGTCTGGCCATCACTCTCAAACCGAAGCCCAAAAGCCCTAGTACGAGGAACACGACACCAATGACCCATACTTCTTTCGTTCGGTCTCTTGATGGCGCATTACATGTGTGTTTTGAGTAACTTTGCACAACTGGAAGATGTTAGTGATGCATGATCATTAAAAAAAGACTGGAAAATGACTTACGCAGTGCCTCTCGTACCGTACAGCTCTCATGCACGCAGAGCGAGATCTTCGCATTCAACTCAACGTTGGTACAGATACAGGTGGCATTCGTGAGTGAGCACGTCGACTGCAGTGTTTCTTGTTGGATGCATTCCAGCTAAGGCATATCAGTCATTGCACGATCGACATCTTTCGCGAAGGAAACATACACCGCATAAGGGAGGTGTCTCCGTGGACGCTGCCGCCGAGGTGGTGGTGGTGGTCGCCCCCACTACCACCTGGACGCCGAATGCAACCAGCGCAGCAAATGTAAGGAATCTCATCTTCACGTCTTCACCAAAAGATAAGAACAGACAAGAATACGAAGAACAAGAAGAAAATGAAAGGAGGGAATGGTGATCAAAAAACCATGTGTTGAATACCAGGCGATGTCAGTTGTTTATTCAACTTCGCTTTTCCCGGAAGGAAATCCCCATCCGGGGCATCCTTTCTATCTGCCGACGAGGCGAGAGGCGTAAGGCCAAGCCATCCTAGCCCCCAAAGGCTTCCCGTTTCGACGAAGATTGGCCCAGGCTGGTTCCAGTATGTTGGTAGGGAACAGGGTTTGATCAAGGCAATTGCATGTTCATCCAAATCGTTGGTTCGGCAGGCCTCCTCAGTGGGCGGAAAAGGCGGTGGAATCGGCCCCTCTGCGATTCTCTGTCGAAAATCACAATTCCGGCCTGTGTTATCCATGCAACTCCCTGTAAGTCGCCTATATGCGCCCTAGTGGGTTTTCTGAGAATGCGACTCTTTGGAAATCTCGAACGAATTTCAAAAGAAGGAACGGATCTCGCCAGAATTGTATTCCATGAGAGCAAGTTTCCCAAATCGAACAGCATTGCAACATGAGCAGCCAAGGGGCACCAGACTAGCGAGCTCATCATCAGTCAGATTGACCAGGTAGTGTTTCGGAGCCCTGCCGCCTAGCCACGTGCCCGCTTTGGGTACTGGAGCCGGCAACTGGTCAGGAGCCTCGTATCTCAAAGAGTCGAAAAAGTCCACAGAGGGCTGTCCGGATTGTGGGTTGTGCTCAATGAAAATGGGCGATGTCGCGAGCCCCAGAGCTGTGGATGTCGTAGAGACCCACCTCATCTGAATACCCCTTGCCGAACGAACCGCCGCTTTTCTTGGGCGATTGTCGCGTACGGCGGTCTCAGGGTTGAAAGAAATAACACGCCGTATTAATTGAACGTTGACAGAAATGAAGTCGCATAAACTCCGAGCCTTTTTATCAAACCCAAAGGTTATTCGCCGTGCGGAAGTTTCAGCCCCGATGTTCACAGTTCGTGAACCATTGTATGTTGTTTGCTCGAGCTTTCGTGTTCCGTGCCATGGTACTGGGACCAGGTTGGTTGGAGAGGCTGCATCCTGCAGGGGCTGCAGCGATGTGCCCTGCTTTGGGGAACGACCAGGACGGCCGGGAAGAAGACGCCGCTTCCGCCCTTGGATCAGCGCTTCTGCAGGTTGATCGACAGCTTCATAACGATCTTGTTTTTTATCCTTTCACAACGGCTTGCGAAACTTTCTGACTGCACCGCCGGTGACACCGTCGAACTTTGGGGGCTACAAAGTTCGAAAATGGGGTCATCGGGGAATTTGATTGCAGATCGACGCTGAGCCAAGATTGTGACATTGGCATTGCCCGATAGGAAAAAGGAGGTTCGTTAGGTTATTACAAGGTTACGTTGACAGGCTGACAGCTTTCTAGGGTCCTGGGGTTTTGTACCGGGGTCCGTCTGAGCAACAGGCCTAGTGCATCTTTTGCACAGACTGAACAATGACTTGTGCCATGGGCTTGGAAATGACCAATCAAGAGGCCTGCGATTTGAGGATCTCTTGTGCTGGCGATCTTTACTTCCCACGAGAATGAGAGTGGGAAACACGGCCTCGTTCCTCGTCACTGTGTGTCGCTCTTTTCCTATCCTAGGAGAAACCTAGGTTCACAGATTTTGCACTTACCGGGAACCTCGGCACCTGAGCCGTCGATGCCGTTTCTAAAAGGAACGACCAAGAAGATTGTTTCGATTTCCAATCTTTTTACCTTTCCGGAGGGTTATGACATCTTGCGGATGCCATCATTATCATACGTCACTCGTTAACAAACCAACACTTTCGCTTCTCACGTTCCTTTCATAGTCACGACACCATGAAGTCGCATTACTTCCTTTCTCTTTTGCCCTGCCTTAGCAGCGGCGTCCAAGCTTTCCCGGCTTACATGAACGGGCCAATCTCAGATGCCGTTGCTTCCAGACTTTCCGACAAGTTGGCCGGCGCATTCCACGAAGTTCACAAGAAGAGATTATTGTTCGACCCATTGACAGCTCCGATCGATGTTACTGGCGACCACGAGTTCATTGCTCCCGATTTCGAGAATGGCGACCAACGAGGACCGTGTCCGGGTCTGAACGCTCTGGCGAACCACGGCTACATCGCACGCAACGGAGTTACGAGTTTGGTGGAGGTTACCGCGGGGATCAACACAATCTTCGGCATGGGTATCGATATCGCCTCCATTTTGGCAGTGATGGGCACTGTTTTCGTTGGAAACCCTCTGTCCCTGAACCCGGGCTTCTCTATCGGATACGAGTCTAGTGGTTCCCAAAACATTCTGGGCAACGTTCTTGGACTTCTCGGCACGCCCAGAGGTCTCAACGGCTCTCACAACATCATCGAGGGAGACTCGTCTCTTACCAGAGGCGACTTGTACATGACTGGCGATGCCACGACAATGGTCATGGACCAGTTCCAGACTTTCTACAATATGTCTTCAGGGGAGGGCGACTACAACTTCGACGTCTTCGGCGCTCGTGCTGCTGCGCGCTTCAACGAGACTATTGCGACCAACCCCAACTTCTACTACGGCCCCTTTACCGGCATGATTGCACGTAATGCCGGTTATCTCTTTGCATGCCGCATGTTCGCCAACCATTCAGCTGAGAACCCCACTGGTTTGTTGAGTAAGTATCGCGGGAGCTCACGAAGTATACAATCGAAGAATGCTGATGCTGTTCAGACAAGGAAACTCTGAAGAGCTTCTTCGCTGTTCAGGGCGAAGAGGGCAACCTGACGTACAACAAGGGCTGGGAGAGAATTCCCGATAACTGGTATCGTACGCCTGTTGACTACGGTCTGGTTCAACTTAACCTTGACCTCGTTTCTTGGGTTCTGAAGTACCCCGAGCTCGGAAGGTATACAAATCTGACAGACGTACACACATGTCTTGAAGTCATCTGCTAACGTGAGTACTACAGCATCGGCGGCAACATGGGTGAAGTCAACAGCTTTGCTGGAGTCAACCTTGGAGACCTGACAGGCGGAGTGCTCAATCTCACGAAGCTGCTGGAGAACAACAACCTTTTGTGCTTCGTCTTCGAGATTCTCAAGACCGCATCGCCTAACTCCTTGTCTACTCTGTTCTCTATCATCGAGGTCCCCCTCAAGCTTGTGACGGACGCTGTTGGCGCGGCGGTATTGAACCTTGCCTGCCCCGCTTTCAAGGACATGATGGTTGGTGGGCAGAGTTTTGAGGATGGCATCAAGGATCAGTACCCTGGTGCTAAGCTCTCAGGAAATGTACTCTGATTTTCAGAAGACGCAATGTCACTGCCGAGTCAGTGCTGATGCTTGCGATCTCACGATGCCGGATTCAGATGCAGAGACGTACTGATACCACAAATAATGATGGAGCGCCGACTTGCCACTTGTATTCTTAATTATCTAATTCTCAACAGCTTCAAACCTGGCTAAAACTCTTCGACTCTGGCACATGTATATCTTTGACTCCATTTGTTGGTTCTGAGACTTTGTTAGGAGCATCAAACAACAAAGAAGGAAATAGTGGTAAGAATGAACCATGTTTCAATGGTACAATCTTGTAGTTAAGGGCCGTATTATTTACGAGTCTCGATAAAGCTACCACCGTATACCTCAGATACTAGGCTGCCAGAATACACCAATGATATAAGCAGTCATTGTATTAGTGTCATGTCTATTCAACTTGGCGAGTATCGTCGGACTCGTCGCAGAACCCGAATTCGAAAACAGCTTACTTGTAAGTTTTATGCAATCTAAATACATTTCTCAACACAAAAATACGTCACAAAGATACGTTAAAAAGACGCCTTCTTGCTCAGACCGAAGGCAGAGAACAAGGGGCGGAGAAATTAAAGCCACCTATCAGCATTTCATAGTGCGGTCATCGTTCACCCCAATTCCTGGTCGTCTATTCCAACTAAGCCTCCTCGATCGCCGACACAGGACAAACCAGAGTTGAAAACGTCCGTGGTGGCGCTCAGCACCGTTGGCTCTCATCCCCGGTGTCGACAGCTTGAGCCATAACATTCCATTTGTCGGTTTTGTGAAAGGCTTGCCCACTGGCCAAGTATTCGAAGTACGGCGGCCCAGTGCACTTCCAGTAGGCAGCTTCTGCGCCATCGGCAATGTGGCGATAGGTATCAAGAACCTTCTGCTTTGTCTGTGGCAGAGGTGTTAGGGCTGCTGCATATGATATCAGATTGAGGGGGGGATTTTGATTCTTACATCATCATTGCAGAACCAGATACCCATGTTCTGAGAAGGCTTTAGTGGACGAACATTCTCAACAGTCACAATCATTACTTACCCAGGAGCAACTGACACGGCCACTGTCGATGGGAGTTAGTGATGTTGAACGCCGTATTGAATGAGACACTCTACTTACCAGCTTCCCGGACCAGGACCTCCCACGGGTTTGCCGGGAACCTTGCGCAAGTACTTGACACCTTCCCACCATGCTGACACACTTGCTTCGTGTAGTTTCTGACACTGAACGTCAAAGTCTCCCAGAGGCAACGGATCCGTCGGATCGTTGGCCAGAACAGAAGAATAGTTTGCTTCAAGGTGCAAAGCGTGTACCATCTCAGGTCTCAAGGCCTCAAGCTGACGAACAACTTCTTGGACAGAGCCGTTGAAGTGTTCACCATCAATATCCCATTCGGGCTCCCAGACATCGTACCCTTCAATGGGAGCCTTGAGGGCTTGGGCCTATAAATAATCAGTCAGGACCGTCACGCCGCACAGACAGGTATTCCTACCATGAACGCCAAGGGGGCGGAAAGAGCGATGAAGTTGGCCAAGCGCATGGTGAAAGAGAATCGATGGTGTGAGGCGATTTCAGTACTGTCGGTGTGCAAAAAAGGAATGTTGGACTCTGAAGAAGATGTAGATGTGGAGGGTATGAAGTAGGTGGAGAAGAGGCTTCCAATATATATTTCGTTGCGTAGCCAAGAAACGATGCGTTCATACCGGACCGTGTGCAGGGGCAGTTCATCTCCAAGTGCGCCATGTGCTTGAGCTCAATACCCGACCTCTGCCTGATTGTCGAGTCTACTGTCTAGACGTTTCTTGGAAAGAAGCAGCTGCTCCGTTGCCAATTGCCATGAAGTCTCAGACCATGACCAGACTGCAGATACGATGGGGAAGGGCAGCATTGTGGAGAAACAAACATTCCATCACGAGTATCCTCGGATCAACCGGTCGACAGGTTTGTGTGGTAGCACAGGTCCATCGAAATACGGTGGTGACAAACAAATAAAACAAAACCAACAACATCACAGTTGAGCTCTATGGGGACATGCAACTACATTTCGACTGCTCAATTGCAATTTTGTTGACGCCATGGTTTGTCCACTTTCCAGATCAATACGCGATACGTCCTTACGGCCAGCATTTGGTAAGCATGACTGTACGTGACGGGAAAAGAGCTAGCTTGATACTTGTTCAAATCGGAAACCAAGCATAGCGCTGCAGTCAATCTTCGTCGAGGCGGCATTTTCTCTTAGAAACAAATCAGAAGACCTAGGTCATGTGCACCATATTTCGGCTCGGCGCGAGATTCCACCTCACTCCGTTGGTCTTTGAAGATGATATACAGCAGATCCTTTGACCACTTCCTGGTCTTGTTCTCTGGGCTTCAGCAAGTGGACTGCTCGTATCAGAACCAACAAACGCACGGACTTTAGCCAATAATCTTGCAGTTGAGATGGGAGTCTCTCATGCATTTGTAGGCTGCAATCACTGACCAACAGTTTGTCTGTCCACCCCTGTTTATCACGGTGCCCTTATCAAAGTGAGAGTACAAACTTGATCACAAACGGCATGCAGACTCAAGATGTTGCAATCAAATCAATTGAGAACAAAGAGATGAGATGCGTTTGTGAAACAAGCAAGCATTCAGTCAGCTAAAGCCATCGTCGAAAATCCATTACCAGCCACTTGGCGATCTCATGGATATTTGTGACAGAAAATACGAGGCGGAACCATCATCGAAGCCCAATTACCGCTTGTAGCGCCGTACATAGCCATACAATAGGAATTATCTCTTGTTGATTGGGTTTGTGTCAAGCATCGTCTACATCCAATGTCGACGGGGACCAACCCCATCGGGGCCACATATTACCATGTGGGTTGGCGGAGTAAGGTGAGATGGAAGAGCACACTATCTGCAGCTCGGAAAAGGACGGCAAATAACAGTGTCTGTTTGTTCCAAATTAGGGGACAAACGCAACCAAGTATTTCAAAACACATTCATCATTCGCTTGTCATCGTCTACTTCGTCAATCTTCTTGTACATAGTACTTTACAACTTGGCGTGCTTCTCGTTGACGAGAACGTATCTGTAACGTGCGTGACCAGCCTCCATATCAACAATAGCCTGGTTTGCGTCCTTGAGCGGGCGCTTCTGGACCCAGGGCTTAACCTTCTTCTCGACGGCGAGATCCAACATCTCACGGATATCGGAAGGCGAACCGATACCGCTGCCACCAACCTTGATACCGCTGGCGAGCAGGGTGAAAGCGTTAATAGCGGGAAGGTTGCCTCCATCAGGAGCACTAAGACGGCAATTAGCATTCGTCCGGCATGGGCGCAAACAAGGATAACTTACCCAACCTGGATGAAGGTGCCGTAGACCTTGAGCAGTCTCAAGTACTGCTGGAGGGGCATCTTGTCGCTAGAAACCGTGCAGACAATCAGGTCGAGGCTGCGGGCGTACTTCTTCGACCAGTCCGCGTCATCGTCGGTAGCAATGTACTCATCGGCGCCAAGCTTAAGGACCTCGTCCTTTTTAGAAGCCTTTCTGGAGATACCAACAACCTTGTCCGCACCCAAAGCCTTGGCGAAGAGAACACCGAAATGACCCAGGCCACCAACACCGACAATACCAACCGTCTTGCCGGGTCCGCAACCATTGTTCTTCAACGGGGAAAAGACGGTGATACCACCGCACAGCATAGGCGCGGCATCCTCAGAGGGCAATCCCTCGGGGATCTTGATCACAAAGTGGCCGTTCGTTCGGTTGTAATCGGCATAGCCTCCGTAGGACTTGCCCTCGCCATCGGGGTACACGGAGCCGTAGGTGCTAACGTTGGCACGACCGCAGTAGTTCTCGCGTCCGATCGAGCACTCGGGGCAGTCGGACTTCATGCAGGAGCGGGCCTGGGCACCGACACCGACGCGGTCGCCGATAGAGATGTCCTTGACGTTCTTGCCGACGCGGACAGCCTTGCCGACAATCTCGTGGCCGACGCAGCAGGCTGTTTGGCGGCAAGGTTAGTACGCGGCATTTTTCGAAAGAGAGGGGTCTGAGCAGGCGGGGTAAAACACGACGAGAAACTCACGATAAGGGGTCTCGGCCCAGCCCGAGCGCAGCATGTGAAGGTCGGAACCGCAGATACCGCAATGGGAAATCTCGATATCGACATCGTCCTCAGTCCACTTCTTGGGCTCGAAAGCACCCCATTCCATCTTTCCGTTCACGCTGTCGGGGCTGTGGCCCAGCCATCCCTCAAACTTGATGTCGGACATGTTGATTGTTGTCTTTGGGTGTTCTGACTCGCGGAGTTGGTGTGGTGATGCTATCTTCTTGCTCGATACGTATGCTGAATTGTGAGCTTGTGGGTTCGTAGATGCGATTGGGATTACGAATTCAAGACAGTGAATGGAGCGAGCATGGGGCAAGCTATATACAGTTCCAGCTCTCGACCGGAATTGGGTTCAATGACGGCATCTTCACGGTTTCCGCGAGCCAGTGCCCCATTTTTGTTCATAATGTCATCAAGACGGCAGCAAGGCCGGAGTTAGGATTGCTGCTAGCTGGACTTAAGACGGCACTATGCCTCTTCGACACAGCTTCAGCGCCGGCACGGTTACGGGGGACACTGCCGCCGCATGGGGCGGCCGTCAATGCCGCAGGTTGGGTTCGAGCTTGACTCTGGTGCGCGGTTCTGGTGGGAAAAGTATCATGATCCAAGCTTCAAGCTAGGGGCCCGCCGTGCCAGCAACGCCGCTAGCTTCGTTCATTGGGTATGATGACACAAAAGAGAAAGAGATTGAGTGTGGGCTGTTATCAGCGCTGCCATTGGAAGCTTCTCCCTTGTTGTTTCCCCGGCCTAGCTCCAAAAGTCCGCTTAAAATCCCCCCAGCTTGCAGTATGCACGAGTCAGATAAGGTTCGGCATTTTTTTTCTTGGAACAACTCAGCTGGCATGCTGGCTACAGCGGGACGAGCTGCAAGAATACGGCGCAGACGGACGTAGAGGGAGAGCTGCAGCGCGACTTGCTGCGACTTGCTGCGACTTGCTGACATGGAAGACGATGTTTCTGATTAGCTTCTAGCTTCGTTGCGTCCATGTAAGGTGCTTATTGCCGATCGTCCCGTGTGACGGCGCGACTTGTCATTAGATCTCATCGCCACATTTAGCATTTCCAGTGGAAACCAACCCCTCACTGTCTTACCTCGCTTCGGTGATTGTTACTAATCCTCTTTGGCATCGGCGATAGGCGAAGCCGATGGCTGACTTCGGGGATATGACCGCATGACTTTGTTGATCCGCATGCAATCAGCGGTGAGGCAGGTACCGCTCTAAGATTCCAAAGTCTTCTGTCTCCTGGCACTATCCCACCCAAAACGGCTTGGCGGCCCCGGAGATAGGCTTCGCAAATCTGCGTCTCGCAGCCGAGGCACTCAGATAAAGACAATGAAAAACTCCGCTCCGCCTGATGACAGTTGTCAGACGGACTGAGGATCCGCTTCTTTGTTTGGTTCGTCTCCTTGGAGACTCAAATACTGGGTGAACTGGAGTACGGGGAATCGCGGTCTAGAACGCCAATGCCGTGGACCGTCTCCGTCCGGCGAAGCATTGACGGAGTTTGCTCCGGTGCCATCACCGCTTGATCGGCAAACTGCTGGAAGCTAACGGACTATTTGTCAGGAACCACGACGTCACGTCTCGGCACTTTTTAGTCAATTGAAGACTTTGCGACGTCGAAAAACGCCGACCGGAGTATTTGCTAGCGGGACGAAAGCTATGTGCAAGAAGGTTAGATATGTAGAAATTTTGGGACAGCACCATCCTGACCATTGAGACCAGCAAGCCTGCCATTTGGGTTAAACAGATGCCCGTATTCAACCATCATCCGTCATCATTTTACAAGCACTGAGAGTACCAGTCGTTCACAAAGGTGCAAACATAGGGGCTGGCACACTTGGTAGGCCCAGTCCATCCGCTACCTCCGCACTGCCCCCAGCGGACTTGCTCCGAGCCTGATGCCGCAGTCGTCGTGGTCGCGCGAGATGATGTCGTCGAGGTGACCAAGGTCGAGGTACGGGTTGTCGTGGTCGGGGGTACAGTCGTGCCAGCACCGCCAGTGGCAGCAGCAGCAAGGACCGAAGAGACGGACGTGTACGCGGGTTTCTTGGCGTAGTTGGCGTCCCAGAGGAGAGCGTCGCCCTGGCCGCTGAAGGTGTCGGGAATCCAGCTGTACTTGTCTGTGAAGCCCCAGATCGTGACTCCGACACAGCCGTCGACATCAACGCAAGACCCGACAACGTTTGCAAAGTCGTTGCCCTGGGTCACAAGGGCGGCGCTGGAGGCCGGCAGGCTGGAATGACGGATGTCGAGCTCGGTGTATGCGACCTCGAGGCCAAGGGCGGTGAAGCGGCGGAGAGCGGTCGCGAGGGCAGAGCGGCCGGGCGTGCTGCCGACGATGAGATGACCTTGAAATCCGACGCCATCAATGGGAGCTCCGGCGTTCTGGACGATGGTGGCCGCCTCGTAGACGCGGTCCGTCTTGGCGCCGTTGTACTCGAGGTTGTAGTCGTTCAAGTACCTATTGCGGGTCAGAATGATGTGGCTTCACATATCGCATCACTTAAGACAAGTACTCACAACTTGGTGTTGGGGTCGGCAGCCCGGGCAGCTCTGAAAGAGATGGGGAGGTAGTCGGTGCCCAAAGTGTTGTAGAAGACGCTCGCACGCCACGTGCCATCATCTGCAGCTGCCTCGTTGACGACATCCCAGGCGTAGCACTGTCCCAGGTAGTGCTTCATGACATTAGAAATGTGCGTCTGGATAACTGCTGTGAGAGTTGCGGCCGTCCATGATCCGCTTGACACCCAGTTGGGGAGCTGAGAGTGCCTAAAGCTGTTGTTAGTGGCAGCCAACGCCAAACATAGCTCGGGAACCGTACCAAGTAAGGGTGTGACATCTCAGGATTTGGCCATTGGCCTTAGCAATGTTCGGGACCTGTCAAGACATTCGGTTCAGGCGAAATGATTCTTTGGTCTTCCCATCAGTCCTGTTCAACTCACGATATCGCCCGACGTGTACGAGAATGTGTTCTGGCTAGGCTCGGTGTATGCCCACTTCTGTCCATTCTCGGGTACCACGGAGCCGAACTCAGCCGTGTTGTTCACGATGGCCATATACGTCGTATCCGTAACTCGTTGCTCGTTGACCGCCGTTCCGAAATACTTCAGGCCCGCTCTCACGGCCAGAGTGTTCAGCTGAGCAGAGGCAAGGCCGGAGCCCAACACCAGCACGAGAAGAGTCTTGGCATACATGTCTGTGCCTGCTGTCGAGATCAAGAGAAGACGGTCTGGTAAACTGTTGGCCGCAACAACATTCCGAGAATGCGAAAGCAGTTCAACTTATAGACGATCATCACCAAGAGCAGCCTTTCAGAGATGTGGGGGAGGGTCGCATTTTCGACGGCTTCAATGAGCATTCCAGCCGGTTGGTGGGCTAGATCTCCAAATCTCCCACGTGGGGATGCGTCGACGGGCCGGTGGAATCAGTTCCCGTCAGTGAAAGACACATTGGACGATTATCGTGACAGCTTCGCTTCTGCAGGCTAGATCTGCGCTAGTGTCATTTTACCCATTCATCCGGCTTGGTGATCCACTTGCTGGTACGCGCCATCACCAGATCTCTGCATGTGTCTTGCCCGAGCTTTCGCAACTTAGGGATCATGCGGAGAAACAGCGTCGCGCGCCGTGGCCAAGTCTGGCCCCAACTGACTTGGCGCGCGGAGGGTCTTCCGAGAATTTCTGTGCCTGGATTAGCGCGTCAGGTACGGTGGGTAAGACCGGCGCCATCTGCGAAGCTTGCGCCATTAGCAAGCAGTTTGATTTGAGTGCGAGGGAGGCTGAGGAAGAAGAAAGCTGCACAGAGGATGGTGGCGCGTCATCGCGTGTCTGTTTGTACTTTGCGAACCCGGAACCCAGGGTCGCGCGTATTTCCACCAGTTAATACAGCGCTAGAGCACTGCATTTCGGATTTTAGGGGTGCTTGGTTTAATGAGTTTTAAAGTATCGGCACCCAGACGCCAGGGCTCCGCGGTATTGGGTATCTGTCAGACTTCCAGGTTCCAACACATGCTCCAATGGCCGCAAGATGGTTTTAGCCTAAACAACTCTTGTTGTCTACGCCGTCGACGTAGCACTGCAGTAGCTGGCCGAGACTTGCTGCCGGGACGCCGAGAAGGTTGCGCACCACCGTCTTCAAGGGCACGGAGACTAGCTGCGATGTACCGACTGCCGGATGTGGGTGTTCGGCCGATAGGAGTGGGCCTCTTCAGTCTTTTTTTCTTTTTTTCTCGCTCTTCCTACCGGCCCTAAATCGTGGAAGAGTTAAACTGGTGATGTCTACTCAAAGTGACATGCTGAAGACGTCTCGAGTCTGCGCTCTAGCATTTTTCAGATTCAAGCCACTGTTGTTGGCCAGACAATACGTGCTATCGTCAATAATGATTACTCAACTTCACGAGAAGTCTTTTTCATTCGCATCCGGGCGGAGGCCTCGGGGCCCACTCAAGACCCTTTGCTATGTGCATAACCGAAAAAGTGTTGATCCCACCATAGGACAGAAGCAAAAATGCGATCGCCCACTATGTCTATCATACCGAAGATAAAAATTAGCTTAATCCTGCTAAAGAGCAAAAGATTATGATCAGTGGGAGGCTTGAACTCCCGGCCTTGGCATTACTGAACACATCAGATGATATATTAGTACCACGCTCTAACCAACTGAGCTAACCGACCCGCTTTCGAGTTGTTGATATGAGTTCACCATGCCGCTGAAGATCCGCAGGTTCACGATCGCGCTGGACAGAGAACATGGTCCACAAACACATGTCGTTGAGAGGCACACAAAGAAAGGATGATGTCTGGTAACAACGGAATGGATCGCCTTAACACCTCGTGTTCAAAGGGTTTCTCTTAAACGACCAGATGTATCCAGACATTGTTCCTGTTTTAAAGCCGAGGACAAACACGCTTGGATGGACTCAGACGATGCTGGAGAGGTCGTGTACCTACACAATTCAACGCGAAGCTACAGTGAATGGACTTTGGTCATAGTCTAGAAACAGCTGGATTGGTACCAGAGGCTATATGATTAGTTTACTTATCATGGCTTGATCCATCTCTGCTCAGTCTTTGCTTGCGTCGTAGGGGCCGCGAATCACCACAAGCTCCTTCTAAGTTCACATTCACAAATATCTTCAGCCGCTTTCGGGCCCAAGGTCAACAATCTGCTGCAGATGCCACTCATAATGACACCACCTAGACGAACCGCTCCGGAGGTTCCACGACCTCGGAGTCGTCCAGCGTCTTCAGCCCGGCCGCCGTCTATTTCCTCTGATGTGTTCCAGTCATGGTCGAGTTCTTCGGGTTGTCTTTCTCTTACAGTGACGGTCGGCAACCCCCAGGAAGGCTCTCGAGATCAGAGTAAGCCGGCCATCATCAGAGTGAGCAACTACGAAATGCTCCTTTCAGATGGCTCGATTGAAGTTCTTCGGAACGCAGATGGTCAGGTAGTCATCACCTCCAACTCCCCAGCCGGTAACGACCCTGGCCCTGTTGCTCAGGACCCGGAAGTACAGCCCCCAAGCCCAAGATCAGATTCGGACGGCTCGCAGGTGAGCCTGACTGAAATAATAGACACTGGAGCCATCAGACCTCTCGCCTACTATGCATACCCATCCACCCCTCCCGGCGCTCCCATGCGCCCGCAGCGCTCTCCGCGACGCACGCGACGTGTGGCTGTCAGGGCGCATTTGAGAAGAGAGACTTCCTCAGAACCGAGTTCGCCGTCTCCCCTACCCAGAGCAACGGCTCCTCCCCCTTACTCCCCTGGTGGGTATTGGACGTCGACAACCGAAGAAATATCAATCATGGAAGAAATCGTCGATGAAAACGGCATCCTGATGATCTAGCCTAATGTTGAGGAAGTTTCGAGCCCACCCAGCGGGGCTTTTTACAATAAGAGAGATCATCTGGCCTAATGTTTGGCTCATTATGGAAACCCGAGGAGTGGTGAAGGCCAGAAAATTGCCATGTTGTACATACGGAACTTTTTCAGCGTTTGGTGTTATCTTAGAATAAAGGCAAGGGAAATACTTAGACAAAACGGATTTCACAAATGCGCCTCTTTCTGCCTCGACTTTGCTCATGATTGCCTCATCAACAAGCTCCCTTGCGCTACCCCCAGTCTGGCTTAGGGACAAAAGCTCCGAGACACAGGCACGTGTCCAACGGTGGCTTGAAAGCTCCAATGATCAATGTCTCAATCGGGATAGATCCTCCCCTCCCGACCCCAAGCCCAACATCCTCCCGCCTAAACGATCCAATCCAGGCCATCCAAATCTCTTTTGCACCTCTGCGGGCGCGTGGCTGGAACCACGTTTGTGTGGCTTGTGACGTCACGATGAAGACGTCACGGGCGGTCCAAGCCGTACAGCTCTCACAGCTAACAGCTGCTTGGGTTAGCCAGGTCTCAGGCAGTCGCGTCACCTGCCTTTTGGCCCGCGTGCAGATAAAACCAAACGGAAGACCGAGAGGTTCTCAAGCTAAAGCAACCTCAAAAGCTCTCGAAATCACAATTCCCCGGTCGCATTTTGTGTTGTCAATCTCTTGAAAAGCAACAAACAAAAAACCAACATCAGCAGTCTAATTCGCTACGCCGCTGCAAGCCCGCTAAAATGTCGTTCACCAAAGCTTTCGAGGACCTCTTCAAGAGCTTCTACGAGCTCATCGCCTCCATCTTCTCGACATTCTACCACATCCTTCAAGCCTTCCTCAATGCGATCATCAACTTCTTCACCGGCATCGTCAACTTGACCGCCGACGTCTTCTCCGGAGTGGTGGATGTGGTCGGCGGAGTGGGCAAGTTTGTCTTGGGTAAGTTCCCCGCTGATCGCCGGGGCGCCGTTAGCGACGTAGCGTCTCTACATACGCTTGAAGCTAACCACAATCATTTCTGCAGGCAACATTGTCATCATCGGCATCATCGTGGGCGGCGGCTACGCTTACACTAGATACACGACACACGGAAGACAGGTTGCGGCTGGAAAGAAGACGGCTTAAACATTTGCATCATCAGACGAACGTGTTTGGTGGTAGGGAGGGTACCAAGCTTTAGAGGGGTGCTGGGAATGACGCGCATGGGATTGACTGGCTGAACGCAGGGGACTGCGATTTGACTTTCCAGCGACGATAGCACAATCGCGTTATGGGCTGAAACGAAACAGTTCAATAGCATAATACCAGACCATTTCTATTTCAGCAAAAGATGCAAAGACACAAAGACATAACAACGCAACTGTTCTCGGTTCAACACACGCTCGGTATCTCGCCGTCTTTCGGCGACGGACTCGGCTCCGCCGACCGTATGGTCTGGCGGATCTTCACCCTACTGAGCCCCAGTAGCGCTCACGAACCCCGGCACGTCTAGGGCTTCAGCATCACGGCAAGATGGCCGAGCGGTCTAAGGCGCCAGCTTCAGGTTAGAATCTGTCCTGCTGGTGTGGAAACACGCGCGAGTTTGAATCTCGTTCTTGTCACAAAATCCTTTTGCCCCCGGCGAAAGATGTCCTTTTTGGTGATCACTTCCTAGGTACAGGGTCAGTCGCTAACGCAGGTGCCTTGGCCAAGTGGGAACATGACACGATAAGTAGTATTTCACATTAACTATTCTGCCCACGCCAATTCATCCCCTATCGTTATCCAGCAGCGAGTAATGTGCCCTGGGCAGGCGGTGGAAGTTGCCCGCTCGGCAGGTCTTAATCGCAGACTTGCGTGCCGTGTTCAGCAGATGTAAGCGACAGTCACTAAGGCGCGAAACAGGAACGCGTCTAGGCTTATCTTATTCGGCCATGAGCAATAGGAGACATTCTAAATAAAACCCCAGTACCTGCACTTAACGTGGAGTGCTGGGTTTTAGCTGGCTGTACGCACGCGACACCTGACTCGCACGCCAAGAATAGCGCCCATCGCGTGCTGAAGACTCCTGAACGAATGCTTCGGCTTGCCTGTAACCCTACACGACTCGCGACATGACCCTGCCTGCCCCTCTGGGTTTAAATTCCGGATCAGCACATTGTCCAAGACCTTAGGGCTTGGTTTTATATCTAATCTTAAACGTCCCATCGGGTCAAAATGCGGTGGGATACCAATGAGCTTTTAGGATTCAGGAATCATGCGGTAAGCTCAGAGCCAGACAACTAGTTGATCAGTGCTTCGAGATGTGCACCGCCAACGTAGTTGTTTAATGATGGAATACGAGCACAACGTGAGCGCAGAAACTGAGCCGGGAATCGATTTGAAGTACACTGAGGAATCCGAAATAAAGTCGTGATACACTTCTCGTTGGCTCAATTCGTGCGGGACAGTACCTTAGCCGCTTACAGCCCCATCCCACGATCTGAACAGAAATTCCTTCGAGAAGGATGCCCTGCATTCCGCGCTCCGCTAGCTCCCCGCGCGCCCTATGGCGGACAGGGAATCACAAACGTCAGTCTGTCACATGGCGGTGGTCCCTTTGGACTGTCCCGGGAGGAATATGGGCCCAGAGTGGGCTGTGCTCTATTTTAGAGTTGTACGTGAACGAGAACGAGGCCACTTCACTCGCTAAGACAAAAGCAAGGACGCATCGACGGCACCACTTTCTCTTGGCTGATCGGCTATGGACGAGTCGTGATTACAACTGCCTCATCCATTGGATGGCAGACACCCATGCGATGATTTAGTGCTGTCAGCTGAATATGAGGCTTCTCCTCCATCAAGGTAAGATGACCATGGCGTATCTCCTCTACTCGCTTGAGTCCTGAGTATACTGAATAGCTTAGTGCCTTGGCGAGCTGTATTCAGTTCGCTGGGCCTGAATTTACTTCTGCTTCATGAAGATCTTTCAAGATGGGGAGACAGGTCAGCGGCAGATGTCTCTGGCCGAGCTTGTATCGTTTCAATTCCTCGGGATATTTCAAGCTCATGATAAACACTGCTTTGGCCATCTTGTGGTCACCATGACAGCCACTATCACTGGATTACCCTTGAAGACAATGTTTGCCTCTGTTCCTCTCAAGGAGGTGCCTAGCTGCAAGGTCACGAGTCGGTACTCAAATGCCCTGTTTAGGGAGTCTATATTGGAGCGAGTAAAGCAACTATCCTGGCCTGAGCTGGTAAGGAGAACGGCGAATTCGGGCAATCGCCGGGCGGACAGTCACTCCGATGATAGGCTCGCCTGTCGCACATCCGCGGCAGTTGACCAATGGGAACCCCAGCGCCCCTTTTGAGCGCCACAACTCTTCGTTGGAACCTTGAACATGAGCGAACTGTGGGTAGCAGCCTACCCAGCCTCATATGGGGTAGAGATTGGCTTATCCAACTACAGATGACCCTATCCCTGCGAGCCGTTCATCTGTTCTCCACGACCTCCTAGCGAATGGACCAACGGGGGACCGCAGCATGAACCACGCGGTCGAATGTATTTATCAGAGACTGCCTTGGCATGTAGGTAATTTATTTTATCTCAACTAAGGAAGGTGGAAGTCGAATCACTTGATATCAGTCCTGTAAGTCGTGATCGCAACTACATATAAGATCTGTTGGAAGAGAACATCACCAATGATTGTACCTAAGTTGCATATCACCACACTCACTTGTTCAAGCCAGCCATTCTCTTTGAGATAGCCTGTTTGCGTTTCGTTTCGTCAGTCTTTTCAGCTTTATACCATGGTTTCCGCGATCTCCCTGACACGCTTGCTCTCTGTGTTGGCCCTCCTGCCGGCCGTCGCTCTCTCCACACCACTCACTCTATCAAACCTCAAGAGACAAGACGACCCTATTCCAAACAGATTCGTCACCGACACGACAGACGCCTTTTCATCCGGCGACTATGGCGACATCACCTTGACGAACTCTACATGCGAACTCGTCACGATTGAAGGTCCTTTTGGGAGCATCCAGTCGTATCAGACAGGGTTTGAGGGTGCTCGGGTCATGAACCTGACTTCCGCTGGCGGAAACCGCACTTTACTTCACAACGCAAGTCTACTCACCAAAGATTGTAAAGAATTTAACCTAGAAATTGACGAAAACTGACCGATGTTCCAGTCTGGCACTGATACCAGCGATCACTGGAGGGCCTTCCGCGGCAAGGATGCTGTCGTCTTCGGGAATAATGAGCGTGTCACAGAGTTTGCCTTCCAAGACAGAGGCGAAGGCCTCTATGCCGGCTTCAAGATCGTCACGGACACTGGCAGGACCCAGTACGACACGAACTACGCAGCCTCCGACCCGAGCATGTACCCGCCATGGCTGAATGTCCCCGTCGGCTCCGGGATCCTCGCCCGCATCCGCGTCTACTACTGTGAAAACGGTATGGTGGGCCGCTTGGGCGTCGATTTCATCAACGACATCGAATCCGTTTCCATCAGCAAGATCGAGTTTAATGGGTTCACGAATAATATTATGCCGGCCGGTAAAGGAGAGACAATTTCCGTCGGCTCCCAGATTCTTGATGCCCGCAACTCGAGCACTGAGCAGTGGACTACACTGATGACAACCGATGCTGTCACCAAGTCTCACTCTGTCAACGTCGGCAAGACATGGTACGTAGGCGGCAAGGTTGGGCTTGAGGCCGAGGCAGGAATTCCTTTCATCGGAAAGTCCAAGGTTTCGGCCGAGTTCAACTGGCAAGTTGGCGGTACCAGCGTAAGTTTTCTCCTTCTTCAACTTAGCAGCCAAGTCATCTAACGAGCCGTCGCGTCGTAGAACGAAGAAGATCTGGAATCCGAAACCATAACCAAGTCATCCACTGTCCACCTCAAGTGCCCTGGTGGCAAATACTGCGTCGGCACGTCCTTTTATACCAACTTCAAGATGAACGTTGACGTCGTGGCGACGTTTCGGGCTAAGACCAAAGCCGGGGCAGAATACTTCTGGAAGCAAAAGGGCTCCTACAATGGCGCGGATTCTCTCGCACTGCAACTGACAGTCGACGAGACAGAGGAGCCCCCTGCTCCTGTCCGTCGGTCTGCGGTGGCGAGGAAGTCCTAGGCCACTTACCATCTATCAGCATCTGTCATCTGTACTTTGAGCCACTTGTTTCACTCTGCATTTCCAGCGTATAAGGCATTGGATACCCTCACGACAGTACTGTTTCTGTTTTGGACTTTGATTGGCCACTCGAGTCCTTGGCCAAAGATAAACAACGAAGGCTCTTTCATTCTGTATTTAGTTATATCAAACATGTACATGTACAGACATAAAAACCCACAAACCCAGTCGTAAATAACCGAGACTGAGTTTCTTTTAGTCTTTGCAGCTTGTCTGAGTCGCTGCTTCGCCAACTACAAGGTCGTGAAAGCAGACGAATAATCTCACTGGACGCTGCAAATAGTGCCTTGATGCGCAGATGGGCACAGGTCCGTTTGGGCAGCAAAATCTGTGATCAATTTGAGTACACTGATTGTGGTACTAAAGACTTCGGCTGATCGAAGTTGAGGATAGCAGATTCTGGGGCGGGCAGACTCGCGACAACGGTTTCCAGCTTTCACCATCGGAGATACACAACTCCGTCTCCCTGTTCTTACGACTTGGCAGTCCCGCATCGTTGAACGTAAATGCAAAACTCGTAAAAGATCCACAGCGGCACGCCGAGTCGCCGACTTTTAGTCCGTAGTCCGACCAACTTTCTGCATGTACGATCTGTGATCGGCTCTCGCCAGCTGGACTGCATGCCGCATTCTCAGCCTTCAACAGGCCGGCTGCATATTGCATCCATTCTGACGAGCTAAAATTTGAGAAGCTGCAGTATTCCACCGGCACGGAGCCAATCAGTTGTCAACGGCCACCCAAACCGTCCAAGCCGCCGTCTTGGGTCACCTCCGTCCCGTTTCCACCTGGCTGCCAAGGGCCAGCCCGGAATCTGGTATCCACTGCAAACGCACAATGGGTACTGGTCCAGAAATTTACACCGTCTTTCAACGACTCAATCCGATATGGTGTAGTGGCCAACATGATGCCCTCTCATTAATTTGCGCGGTTAGGCATAGCCCCGAGTTCGATTCTCGGTTTCGGAACATTTACGTCTCTTTTGCCCCTTCTAACTTTTGGTCTCTGCTCTCGTACAGCAGGTTACCGCCGGCGGATACGCTTTAGTAATTGCTGCGTAGGTATCCGTACTCTAGAGGCTACAGAGCATTCCCTACAGTACCTGTTAATAATTTGAGCTCGCAGGCGGTAACCTGCTATGTGGAAGCATAAATGAAAAGTTGGGAGGAGAAAAGGACTCGTGGTGCCATCCCTTTTCCTTTCCCCCTTTTTTTTTTTTTTTTTTTTTTTTTTTCTTCTCACTGTCAATATGTTTGTCGCACCTTCTTCACCTACACTGGTTAGCCCCTCACAAAGCACCATAGAAATAAACCAAGTCGCACGATTCTCCCATGAATTTGCTACACATTTTGCGTGTTGGAGGCTTCGCCACACTGTAATAAGCTTAAGCCGATCGGTACCGCCGTTGGAGCTGCCAATCATGGCCGCCAAGCTGTCGATTGTGGTCAGAAAAGCTTGGTTAGTACTGAAGAACAGGGGTTCATCTGATGGTGGACTGCATTCCGATCCTTCTGTCTTCACCACTTATCCGAATGGGTATGTTTGGCCGACGGATGTCGCCAGAGTTTGTCGGTTTTCAATGTTCGGTCGAACGATCGCCGACTTTCCCCGTGACTTGTTCGTATTCTTTTCTGTCCACTGCTGCTAGCCGCTACTGGTAGATAAAGTCTCTACCGCCGAGGTCCCATCACTTGGGCCTCCCACGAGCCTGCTAACTATAACGCTACGTACGTACTACATTGCAGCTGGTCTGATAGGTGGACCGTGAAGTGGAATTGGGATCGCCAAATGCCCGACTTCGAGGACACGATCCACCCCCGTCTGTCCGTGTAGTGGGCAGACAAGCTCCGGCTTCGCATCTTCAGGAAGCGGAGGATGCCGTCAAGCACCACCGCACCATGCGAAAAGCAAGAGTTCCGCAGACGTTTTTGATTGCTGACACATGTGCGTTCTACAGCTCACTTCTTGGATAAATCACTGCAACCCATCACGAGCTTCCGGATGATGATGCCGTCTTCTCGCACTCGCCCCTCGGTCACAGGCCGGCCAGCATCCACCCACATTCCGTCCTAACTCCCCGCACCCCAAACGCCATGGTCAGCACCAAAAAGTGCGAACAACGAGGAAGGAAAAAAACTCTTCAGAACCGGGACATCCCACTTTGGCGGGTAACTTCAAGTACCGGTGGGCGGACCGGACCGTTAAAGACGTCTTCAAGAGGCGCATTGTCGCCGGCGGCGCTGCACTACGCAGCGTCCGGAGGGGCTGGCGCGCTTCTGACCGACCCTTTCATCAGGATGAATCCGGGAACTGGCACATGCCGTTACTCATCTCCCACGCCCCCCCCGGATCACTCCGTCCAATCCGAGGTCGCTGATGTCAAGAATCATCTTATCTGATCATCTAATCCCATCTAATCTGATCCCTCGAGACCCCACCGTTCTGTTCATAGCGTCTTACACACGCCCCAAGATCCCAGCTAGCATGACGCTCACCGGAGGGACTTTGATCGCATCCATGTCCCGCTTGTCACTCACACGGCTTAAACCGCGTTCTTCATTGGAAAAACTTTACATACCACCCTGTCAAGCTGGAGGGCTAAAAATTGAGAGGTATTTTTTTCACGCCCACGCTTCACGCCGATTGCGACATTACGTAGCTTTTGGTTTTGGGAAGGTGTGCAGATCGATCCAGTGCCTCTGCTTACCCTAATACCCCGCCATGCTTTTCTGGCACTATGTCGTTTTCTTCTGCTCGAGGGCGGAAATTTTCCATTTTCTGCTCCTTTCCTTTGTCGTAGCTCAGTACGGTCGGACTGCGTAGGCAACTGAAACACCATGTTTGGCGTGTCGAACTGGCTTATCGCGGCCACCGTGGCTCTGGCCACGGCCGTCTACTGGATCTTCAAGGCCTGCTACATGCGCCTTAGGTTCCGAGGTCTCGTAAGTACTCTGTGACTGGCTCTGGTGTTTTGGCATCGTCAGACTCTAACTCACGTTCTCCGTCAAGCCTCAACCGCCAAAGCACTCATGGATCTGGGCGCACACCCCCATCTGGGAGGAGGTAGCTGGAAAGTGAGTACTCTCACCTCTGCCGCGGATTGCAATTGCTAAGAAACGTCAGGCTACCTCTGTTCACACATCCTCAACATGTCTACACCTACATGGCGCAAAAGTACAACCTGGGTGGTATCTTCTACATCGACATGTGGCCCTTCTTCGACTCGCAGGTCGTCATCACCGATCCCGATGCCGCGCAGCTCGTCCTGACGACCACCCCGTACCCCAAGCACCCGTCAATTGAGAAGTTCTTGCGCCCCTTCACCGGCGTCGACAGTATCGCCGCCTCCAACGGCGAGAGGTGGAAGTACAACCACCGCATGGTCGGCTCCGGCTTTACCCCGACCTACGTGAAGCCGATGGCCGGCATGATCGCCGAGCAGGTCCTGATCTTCCACGAGCGCCTTCGCGCATTCGCCGAGAAGGACGAGTTTTTCAACATGGAAGAGGAAGCGGCTAAGACCATTTTCGACGTCATTGGAAAGGTCGTTTTCGGTTTCTCTCTGGAGGCGCAACGGACCGGATCTCCACTTTTGGAGGATCTGAGAGCGTCCATCAACCCGGCGACGACCTTCATCAGCACAAAGAACCCGTGGAAGAAGCGCAAGGCCGAGCAGGGTCTGCAAAAGCTCAAGGATCGCGTCCGGAAGGTTCTTGCTGATGAGATGCACGAGCGTCTCAGAATTCTGCAAGATGAGAAGGAATTGCCCAGCAGACGACAGGTCAAGTCCGTCTTGGACCGCATCGTGCTCGACAGAATTCAGAGTGGCCCTGGTGCTACTCTTGACGACCCGTTCATCGATACCGCTGTTACAAAGTGGGTTCCCCCTTCATTCATATCTATGATTACATGCAATTTTCAGTATAATCGACATTGATACTAACGCCACGCAGTCTCAAGGCCCTCCTCCTCGGCGGTCACGGCACCACGACCGACACTTTCACCTGGGTCACCATGTTCCTCTCCATCTACCCCGACGTCGTCGAGCGCCTTCGCAATGAGCACAACGAGCACTTCGACCCCGACTTGGACAAGACCGTCGAGATGCTCGTCGCCAACCCGACCAAGACCAACGATATGGAGTTCACTAACGCTGTTATCAAGGAAACGCTCCGTTTCTTCCCTATCGGCTTCACTATTCGCCAAGCACCCAAGGGCGTCACCCACCTCGACTGGAATGGCCGCCGCTGGCCCGTCAAGAACCTCATGGTCATCCCCTGCGCTCACTCTACCCACATGGACCCCAAGGTGTGGGGCGAGGACTCCAAGAGCTTCAACCCAGACCGGTTCCTCGGCGAGGACGCGAGGGACATGCATCGCTTTGCCTGGAGACCTTTCGAGCGTGGACCCCGTGCGTGCATCGCACAGGACCTGGCCATGGACGAACTGCGCATCATGCTTCTTTTGACCGTCCGTTGGTTCGACTTTGAAACTTTGGTGAACGGCACGTCTGAGAGAGTTATGTACATGGATCTGGACAAGAAAGTTGGTGATTTGGCCTTCCAGATGGTTGGTATGGAGGCCAGGCCAAGACATGACATGAAGATGAAAGTCAAATTGAGGAAGTAAGGACGGATAACAGCGACAAGATATGTCCAATCAGCAAGGGCTCAGAACTCACAGAACTTAAGAAATTGGAACAAGCGGTCGTGTCCGTCGGTGGCCCTCAATTTGGTGTACGAGATGATGCAGCTGCAAAACCGATGCGTAATGAGATAAAACTAAAAATGCCTTTTCCAACTTTTGATTCGCCAATTACGCCCGGAATGCATACTGGTATGAAGCTGTGCAACTCAGAAACTTTCTGAACAGAGTGACGAAGAGGACGAAAAAGCAAATTTGAGAGAGTAAAGGGCTGGTATAGACCAAAGACACATACGGGGCTTCAATAACACACATTCAGGAAGCGCCCGGGGGCCTAACGCGAACCCCATTGCGACATGTGTTATTGCATTTAACTTTATAACAGTGACAGACTCCAGTTGATACTTTATCGCACATGTTTAAGCAGGTTTATTAACGCAAATATATCCCCATCAGAGTTCTACATCAGTTGAAACACAGGAAGATAAAGCAGAACGCGCGGTCTCACCATGCCCCAAAGCGAGCCGAGGGGTAAATGATGCCCACCAGAGGCACCGGGACCCTACAGAAATCAAGCATTTCGCTGAATCATAAGGCTTACTGTTCTTGACAGCCATTTTATAGCCCAGCGCCGTGTCTCCTTTATTAGAGTAAAGCACACTTAGTGTTGCAACAAGCTGTGTAGTTCTCGAAAAGAAAGAAAAGCAGGCAATGTCGAAGAACCCATCCCATATATTAGAAGCTCTATATCAGTGGTTCTCAATGACCCGCTCGGCGAAGCAAGTGCACTATTTCGTCGTTGTCGCTTGACACGGCGATATCCATCGGTGTCCGTCCAAGCCAATCTCTTACAACAGTAGCGCCGTGTTTCAGCAGTATCCCCAGTATACCTACATGGCCGCATTGAGATGCCAAATGCATTGCTGTGAGACCTCTGGCATCCTTTGTATTTATGTCAACCCCATGCTCGAGGAGAATGTTGACAATGCGTGTCCAGCCCGCTCTTGCAGCATCATGCAGTGGCGTTGCGCCCGAATCATCCAATGCTGTGATATCAGCCCCTCTGTCCAAAAGCAATTCCACTATTTCTACCAGTCCACTGTGAGCTGCGCTATGTAGCAAAGTTCGTCCGAGGTCAAGTTTAGTATGGACATGTGCACCACTATTAAGGAGCAGCTTTGCCATCGGTGCGCAGCCAACCTGGATGGATTACAAGAGGCAACATCTCCCGGTGTCATCGACGGCATTTACATTTGCCCCACCGTTGATAAGGAGCCTGCACATATCCAAGGCCTGTTCACCTCGACGAGCGGCCAGGACGAGTGCTGAGTTGCCTGATGAGTCGCATGCGTTCAAATCCGCCCCCATCTCAGTCAAAAGCTTGCACACCTTCACATAGCCCTGAGAAGCAGCAAATAGGACTGATAGCCAAGCAATCTCGTCTGGATCGAACTCCGATCCACTCTCAATAAGCATTCCTGCCATACTTTCATCACCATTGTGTACAGCTCGCGATAGCGCATTGGCTGACTTATGTCTAAGATTGACATTTGCTCCTTTGTCGATCAGGAGTCTCCCCACAGCTTCGTTGCGAGCCTCTGCAGCAAGCATCAAGGGACTACCATATCTGCCGATGAAGTCCAGATTTGCGCCTCTTTCAATCAGCATGGCAACAAGGCATTCTCGTATGCCCCGTTGTCGCGTAGCATGTGAAAGGGGGTTCCCATCAATATCATAAGAGTTGATATCTGCGCCTTTATCAAGAAGAAGCTCTACGACATTGCAAAGCCCCCTTTCCGATGCTGCTAAAAGCGGACTGTAGCCGCAGCGGGGCTGAACATCGGCTCCTTCATGGATAAGCAACATCGCAATGTCTTCATCATCCTCACATATAGCCATGTAGAGCGCGTGTCCAGAATCGCTAGACGCGTTTAGACTAGCCCCCTTGCTGATGAGCAATTCGATAAGAGGGGCATCTGATGTTTTGATTGCTAGGTGAAGTGCTGTGTGCCCATGCATATCGAGGAAGTCGGTCTTTGCCCCATTTCCAATGAGCAATCTTGCTAACGCAGCATTGTGATTGATCAAAGAAAGCTGCAGTGGTGTTCCCAAGGGCCCAGTACTGTTTAGGTCTACTCCCCGATCAATCAGAATCTTGACTAAGTCAAAATCTGGAGTATTGATGGCGAGGTTCAGTGCCAAACGGCCATCCCCGCCACATAATCTGGGATTAGCTCCTTTGCCAATCAGCAATTTCATCAACGCAACGTTGGATTCTCGAAAAGCTAGTACGAGCGCCGATACTCCGTCCGTGTTGGCATAGTCAATTTCTGCCCCGTACTCAATCAGCAGGTCAATGACTGTCTCTTTTGCAGGTGCCCACATTAAGGGCGTCTTCCTTGTGCCGTCCACTTCATTGATGTCCGCGCCACTGTCAAGCAAGAGTCGCAGAACTGGCTCAAGGCCAATTTCCGAAGCTCTCGAAAGCGCCGTCCGACCCTCTTGATCAGGCTCTGAGATAGAATACCCATTCCAGAGAAGAAGCTTGATGATCCCGACACGGCATTCTTGAGCAGCCCAAGTTAGAGGAGTCCGATTCTGAAAGCCTTGGAAATCTTTCATTAAACCGAGGCCATGAGTTATATCAGCGCCGTCCAAGATCACTGTATCGGTGTTCAAAAGACCCGCGACAGAAGACTGATTGCCGTGAGCCAAGGCAGTGAAGATCGGGTAACGATATCGTTCATCTGGCGACAGAATATGTGTCGATGGATGGTCTTGTAACCTGGTTGTAATGAGCCTCGAAAGATCTTTGTCCGCGAGAACGTAGAGAATGTCTGCATCAGCCGTGTATCGACGGATGCGGTGTTTCTCGAAATGATTGTGCACCTCAATCCATTTTGCGACAGAAAACTGGGATATATACCAGTTTTGAGGAATTGCCTCTGCGGCCATATTGGCATGATAGAGGACATTCTGGCTTGCGTATTTCAAGAAAGGAAATGTTTCCAATATGTCGCCTTGAGCCTTAGCCTGGGTGCCCATTGATAGTCTGCTGCATTCCTCGTACACCGAAGGATGTTTGAGGTAATAATCACAGCTTTCCTTCAAACGTTCATGAGTCGGTACGATCCAATCAAAGCCCAACTGTGGCCAGAGCTCTCGTAGACCCCCGGACTTGAGCAGGAAATCGCGAACAGACTCGTGAATAAATTGGACAATGGGTGGCTTGGTTTTTGTCACCTCTGCCAACCCTTTTGAAGAACCAATCACGTATCTTTCGGCGTTGTTAGACGCCTCCGTACTTTTGAGGTACGGAGGCCGGCTGTCCGCCAAGTTCTTGACCAACAATCCGGCCCATAAGGCGTGACTGAACTCCTCTGGTTGAAGTGGCCTCTTAGCGCAGAGGATCCACAGAACGCAAAGGAGGAGACTCTCCCTGTTCACTTCATCACGCCTCAGCATGTCCTTGAAAAGCTCGTTCAGACCACTCGGGATTTCATCGAGTCGCTTTCTCAGGACCATTCCGCCTCTAGCATGCTCGTCGTTGAGGATGTTGATAACAAGAACAACCCAAAGGAAAACACCAGACGCCTTATCCAGAAGCGTCGGCAGTAGTTCTGCGCGGAGGCCAGGGTCTTGAATACGTAGACGGCTTTCTGAGTAGTTGGCTAGATCCTCGCGGTGGCCAGACTGATCCTCCAAAACAAAGGTGATGCCGCGGCGGACAACTATATAGGGATAGTGCCTACTAGAAAAACAGATTCTAAGTTCGACGTTTTTCTCCGTCGATTCTTCTGCCAGATCTTCGAAGTACTGCACCATGTCCATGACTTGTTGCTCATCGCACTCATCTAGGGCATCGATGAAGCAAGTACATGAGCGCTGGCCCAGGGAAAGAATCGCGTCGCGGAAAATTTCCTTGAGAATGTCAATAGGGGCGCATTCCTCAGGGTCATTTAATTCAAGTTCAAGGTTGTCTAACACTGATTGAAGTTCTGGACAACATTGAAACAGCTGTAGGAGGATTGATCGGAACATTCCGGTGATGGACTTTTCGATTTCCTCTCCCCGGGCGTTGAAGAAGAATGCGACAGTAATCCAATGTGGACGAGTTTTGCGCATGATTCCATAAGCATATTTCATGATGGTTGACTTGCCAGCTCCGGGTTTACCACGAATCCACAGAAAACCATGGTGCTGTGTCAACCTCTCAGCATCTAGCCACGCCTGATGATCAGGGTGATTTGAGAACCATCGACAGGTTTTCGCATGGGCCACCTTGATTGCAGACTGTCGAGAGTCTTTCTGGTCAAAGCTGAGCGATTTCAGGAAGTGCTGCCGAAAATTAAGGGGTGATTTCGTCACTTCGTCTAAAGTAAGCAACATTTCGAGATATTGGCATTTAAGCACACATCTTACCTACAGAAACGTCGCCAGGCTTTCCACGAGTTTGAATTGAAGAGAGTACTGTAAGTAGCTCACTTGCATACGGAGCCGCCGTAGCTGCCGCGTACCTCTGCCATGACTTGTTTTTATGGGAGTCTGCGTAGTCGCATATCCCTCGAATTGGCAGACACGGAATAGAATCCATAAGACCAGCCGCCTCCATCTCGAAACACAACACATCTAGCTCTTGGGCGAGGGTGTCGCGTTGTAAAGCACTCTTCATAACTTGATTCCCAGATGCTATACCGCCGTGATGTATGACTGGCTCCGTCCGCTGACGTCTGGGTACTAACTGAGATCGGTCGCATTGACCACAGTCAGAAGTCGATGACGCGTGGTGGTAGGTTGGCGGGAAAAGATCGTCCGAAAGATGTGGATGAAGAAAACCGTGATTGTTACGGAACTTTTCTTGTAGAATAGACATGATCGAGTTTCCTCCCAGCTCTTGTTTTGCTCTCAGAGTGGACACAGCTGTTCCGAGTAGCTGGTGTGGAATTCAAGGAATCGCCGTTCGGTGGATCTGGCCGTCCTCGTGAATCTTACTCAAATCATACTGCATCACCCTTGTTCCAACGATAACGTCTCCCAGTCGTACGTCGGCTTTGTGCGGTGCTCCTCCGCCAATGCCCACCATTAAACCCGCACGAATCCTAGGAAATGATCGTTTCAAATTGTCCACAACATGAGCCGCATTGACTGTCCCGTAGTAACCCGCTGGAAGACATGTAATAACGACATCGTGTTGATGGATCCGTCCTAGAGTGTAGGTATTGCTGTCATCTACGTGAGTCGGCAACGTTGGATGTACTTGGTCAAGCATTGCCTCAGCAGCTGCCATCTCAATGTGGAGAGCACATATCCAAGCGACCGTGTATTGATCGTGATCCCTCAGAGTTGAACTGATTGAGCCTTCTTGAGAGCTGCTGAAGCCCTGGTTTGAGATTTTGTGACGCTTGAAATCATCAGCGGATTCCGCGGTCACGACTCGCCAGCCTCGCTTCGTGTCCATGGTGTACAGCCGCGCTAGGCACCAATCGCCACGAAGATTGCTGCGACCAGAAGGCTATTGGGGCTGGAATCGAGGACTGAAAGTTTGGGGCTTTCTTCCGAAACGAAGCCGGTGTTGCTAGCAGTCGTAAGAGCTTCCACTCGTTCCAGAGAGAAAAATCAACGCAAAAATGGATCCCAAAAAATGTAAAGGAGGGGGGAGGGACTGATAGCTGCCATAGGGAGTGGGGCACAATCAAGCTGACAGCATAAATAGTAGTATGGATGCCTTACCGTGATCAGAAATAGGCGGCTGCATATGAACACTTACGATAATATGATGGAGCGAATTGACTGGCCAAGGTAGGTGCTGACGCCTCTGGTGCCCAGGATGCGCCACAATTGAGTCCACCGGTCAGCTGATGTCTAGTGTGGTCTGGTCTGGTCTGGTTCTGGTGTGAAGTGTAGTCACTCTCTTTTGAGGTCTTCAAGTCCTAGAGGAACTCGATAAGTTCTCGAGTGGGTTTAGTAAAAGTGTTTCATGCCCAATCTCTGTATACTACTACAGGGAGAAATGGAAAAATGGAAAATTGAGGAGACACATTCTCAGGGCTCGGCGTGATTGGCCTAGCGTCTTTTATGAGATGTGTGAATTCGTGGATTTGCGGATTTGGGGGTTGGCGGATGTGACCTAATGGTGCGCCGTACAGCGTAGAATCACCTCGGCGGCAGGGCAGAAGCAGGCTGTGCTGGGGATAATTGGCTGCCAGATCTCCAAGGCTCCAACCATTGTTCAAGGTGCCCGGCCATACGATGCAGGCATGACCAATCGGGAAGTCGTGCTTTGGGCTTAGGGTCTCTCCCCCCCCCTTCCCCTTTTTCCATTTGATTTCCCCAAGGCAGACCATGGACATGGGTTAATTTCTGCAACTAATTCACATTTAGTATCCTCGATGTGACCTGGTTATTTGGGCAATAGACGAGTGGTATAGAAATGCGGGCAAGTATCGCAAGCACGCTTAACTAATTACCAAATGTTGATGATGCTCCCGTTGCAAGAGCTCTAGGGAGATTTGGACGCAGAGGTCAAATCACGTGCTCTGAAGATGGCCGATTCAATTCCTGGAAGGGATCAAAACTTGGACTCTGCTTCGTAACACGCGTGAAGTGTTTCCCCCCCTGCGGCCTATCCCTTAACCGAGTAGGTGTCGTGGGCCTTGACGCCAGCATTGTTGAATCCATATCGGTTGCTCTCGTTAGCAAACAGAATGATTAGAAGAGGAAAAGAGACACACAGTAAAATAACGTAAGGAACTATGAAAGAGGCTCGGGTGATACCAAAGGGAAGTAGCGTTTGACAATGCTCGCCACGTACAAAGTTGCAGGAACCGTTTGCATCTTTGCACTCGGACGGATCGTAGTCAGATTGTATTGCACGAGCCTGTCGATTATCCAGCAGCTGCACCGACTGCTATATGATATATGACCCTTGACTCTTCGGTGGCTTTTCTACAAATTTGATTGATGTAATTTTGTGCCCAGGACGCGAGCTATTCCAAGTTGTCACGGACATCGCCCCTCGCCCCTCTCTACATCAAAGCAGTGCCTTGCAGTGGATCATTATACCATGAAGCTGCTGACCTTTGGTTTTTGTTCTCTCATTCGTATAATCCAGACAGCACATGCGTCCGGAGGCTTCATCGATACCTGCCCAGAGATTCGTTTCTGGGACCCGGATTCTCTCTGGGGAAACAAATACAAAACCTCGCCATACCTGGTCGCGAGGTGCACAAGCAGTGACGGCGATGACTATTGCACATGGCTACCATTGACAATGTGTTATTCCAACATCGATGGCCAACTTGTGGCTCGAAGTCAGTAAGTTCAAGCCGTTTCATCCATCTGCCGCATCCGTTGGTCGCAAGGCCGTCTCTCCACAGGAAAATATTACACACCAAAAGGGTGTCCCAACTCAAGCTCAAGCTAACGGTCTCGTGTCTCAAGTGGTGCCTTCCACAAAAGCTGCCAGAGATGCGAATATAATGACTTGACGACGGAATTGACATGCTTGTGTCACCACGGAGAATATCCAAAGCAGTGGTCAGAGCCGACTGTAAATCTGAGTAGGTCGTTTGACGTGACCATACTTTTGACCCGAAGACTGATTGACAATCATGGGCAGACAAAACCTTGAAGAACGACGACGGGAATCTGGGCTGTCATGATATTATTGGCTTCTCAATAGGATGCAATGACGTGGAGTTCATGAAGCTTCGCGAGGTCAAGCTTATGGGACCAGATGGGCCAATTGACACATGAAATCGATATTGTTCATTCTCTCTTTGTCAGGCATAAAGTCTGGGCCAAGGATTTGGTCAAATGGAATTCCCCATGTGTTGGGCATGGGATATCTTCAATGCCTTAGTAGCTCAAGATGCAGTCAAAGAAGTAACTCCATAGATTCCAACTATACAGAAGTTTGCAATCTCATTCAAATTAGACAACTATTTGTCATTTGGAAGCGTGACAAGGTTGGTATTCTTGAAGTTTCGTGGAGGAACCTTCCGCGTCCAGAGCTCGTCGATCTCGATGTAAGTGCGGTCTTTGGTCTCAGGAACCATGAAGAAAATGAAGACGCAGCATACGGCTAGAGTGGCACCGAAGATGAACGCCACCTTTCCACCGAGATTACCTGTTTCGATTTAATCTGAATGCTCATCGTCAAGGATAAGGAAAAGATATTACCTTGATCGGGATTAATGGCATAGGGCAGACTCAATGTCCAAATTGAGCTTGATAACCCATTTGCAGTGATTGCAAGGGCTTGAGTTGGAGCTCTCAGTCGGCTAGTTGCTGCCTCGGTAGCGATGGGCCATGCGACAGCGCCGAGGGTCCCTTGATAGGCTTGACTTTGGTCAGTGAACTGTGATTGCATGCTTGCCGACTCCATCTGACGGAATCACTCACAGAAAGACCAAATGGCCATGAATACAACCTGCGCCCAGACTGCTCCTTGCGTCTTGACCAGCGAGGACGCACCGATAAGAAAAAGCGTTATCGTGAGGATGATGGATCCATAGAGAGCTGTCCCCCGGCGACCGAAATAGTCCACAAAGAACCATCCAACAATATTACCAATTGCCATCAGCCCAGCTAAGCCAACTGTGGTGTCGAAAGATGCAGCTGGCGCCATGCCAGCCAACTGGAAGTAGTCTGTACAAATCAGTCAGAAGAGTCTTCTCATGAGAGACGTGCACAACTTACAACTCATATAACCCACGACCCATCCCGGGCCGCTGGCATTCTGAATGAAGAACATGCCAATTGCGACCAGAGTCCTTTTTCTAGCAGTCTTTGAAAAACATTCCAAATACGACCCCTGCGAGTCATTGTCTTGATTCTGTCGAGCAAGCGACTCGTGAATCTCGGCCATATGCCCATCATAATCGTACGTAGAATCGTGGAGTCTTTCCAAATTCTTTCTCGCCTTTTCAGCTCGGCCGTGCGCAACGAGCCAGTAAGGAGACTCCGGAAAGAATGGAAGGAAGACAAGAGCCACCGCGGCAAAACCCCATTGTGTTGCAAATAGCACTTTGTATGCTCGTGCATCACCATAATGACTTGCTTCCCGCATGACACCGTAGCCAATGAGTTGACCGAGAACGATGGAGAAATTCATGCCCGCAGCAACTGATCCACGAATGGTGAGG